AAGAACTCACCACAGCTGCATTACACCAGTCTTCAATTTTAACATTTCTTATTGGTGTGTTTACTTTTCATGTTGCATTCAGGAGTTATATACAAATGCTTTGTGCTGTTGTATGCCTTTTTAAAGAGGATTAGTGACAAGTAGAATTTTGCCCCAATAACTAGTATTTTATGGTGGTCTATGAGTATTTCTAAGCTTTGATACCTGATCAGGTATTATAACAGGGATTAAAAGTATTGCAACATGATTGTTATAATATCAGATTATGTTTGTTTAATTAAAAGATACAGAAGTTATTTCTATAACACTAAGGCCTGAAGCCTATAGATGAGTAACAAGTAGAGTAGGCCTCCTTGAATGAATTATTGAATGGAGAGTCGACACAAATAAATCTAATTGCATCAATGTGTCTATTTTAGTGCACCAACCGATAGGATTTAGGGTTAAGGTTGCAGTCCTATGCACACTTACCATGGAATAAGTGTAAATGAACTCTGTGGAGATTATACTTGAGTAGCCATGCATAGGATTACACAGTAAAAGCTTGAAGGGAAGAGGAAATGTGACAAATATGTGAAAACTAGCAAGGTGTTCCCAAGAAATACCTTGTGGAAAGTGAATTGTGGCTGGACAACTTGTTTGGACAGTTTCTTTTGACTCAGGCAAGTTGTCAGATGCACAAACCAAACAAATGTCTAGGAGCTCTCCAGTATTGTTGGGAGAGAAATATTTCTAGAACAAACTGAGCATTCTAATTTCTTTCAGTGGGTCCAGCGGGTCCCACCCAGTAGAAAAGCATCTGTGGAATCCACCTCTGTAGAATCCCAGTGGCCTTGCCACATCACCACCTCTTCCCCAAACCCATCTCAGAAGTGTCTCATGAAGTTGACATTCTTCTCTTGGGATTTTTCCCCACATAAACCAGTGACAAATCAGTTTGTGGGCTAGAAAAGCACAGTTCTTCAGCACCAGCAGGACACACAAGAACATTTTTAATATGGCAATAACAATGTAGGATGATATTTCTTTTTCCTAGAAGTTTTTGGGATGAGAATTAAGGCTTTCAGCATTCTGGACTAGCAAGCCCTTCTTCCTATTCCTGCCATCTCACACACCTCTATTTCTTATCTCTGCTACATAACATGAGGGAATTTGATTCTCTCTGCTACAAGAATTATACGTTGGATTTTCTGTGCCATGAGGCCTGTGGTATTGCACTATTTCCATCCAGAGTATTAATGCTACCAAAGCCACTTGGGCTGCAAAAATAGTTTATTTTCCAAATGGTGTGATGTCTCATTTTGCAATCTCAGGATTGCCTCCTGCCAAAATATGAAGTCCTGGTGACCTTAACCACATAAGGAGATGTTTTTCAGCTTTCAGCTCCTGCTGAAAATTCTCCCCATGCTGTAATGCAGTAGAATGTCCCTCACTTAGTGACAGTCTGTGCCATTTTATCCTTTACATACTAAATTGCTTGAAAGCAAAGTGGAGACCCATGGAGAAAAAAATTGCAACATAGAGAATGAAAGAATGACTGAATACACCAGAGACGTCTAAATGCTCAGTTACATCAAAGAAACATTGTTTTGATGTGTGCTAAGTAAAGGAAAATAGCAGCATTTCATATCAAAATCTTTCATACACATCAGATAAGCCTCAAGCAATATAGGCAAAGGTGTGTTTTTCTAATAAGCATATTAACTTCAAACTAGTGTGTATTTATGTATCTGGTTTGATTTAGTTCTGAAACAGTGTTTCACTGTACTTTAAATCTCAGAAGCATAATGAATCTCGTTCAGAAGCATAACAAAGAGATATGGTAAGAAATCTGCTTGTTTCCCCCAATTAAACTTTTTCTTTCCACATGTTGGTGTCACGCCTTCTCTCTGATCTTTAACTGTTCTTGCATCACCTGCAAGATGTAACAGTGTTTACAGAGCCAGTGTGGTGTAGTGGCTTGAACATTAGACTGTGAGGCTGAAGATGAAGGTTCAAATCCTTGCTCAACTATGAAAACTCACTGTGTTACTTTAAGACAAGTCACACTCTCTCAGCCTTAGAGGGAGGCAAAGGCACCTCACCCAAACAAATATTGCCAAGAAGACCCCATGTTAGGTTCACCTTAGAAATGCTATATGTAAGAAATGAAGGCACATAACAGCACAACAATGTTTAGGCTCAACAGTATTCAGGTTGCAAGAGTCCTGAAATTTACTTGGGTGTATATCCATTGAAATATAAAAATGAAGGATTGCTCATTCAAGGACACATATTTAGGACTGTGACATAAAGAGATCACATAGTTGTAGGGGTTCTTTTGTCATAGTTTTGTGTAGAGGACTATTTTGATAGGTTGCCAGGTCTGAGGCTTGAAACTGCCCCCAAAGTATTGATAAGCCAGCCATTCAAAAATATTCCAAAAACGTTTGAAAACCATATTTTTCTAGTGTTGAGAAACCCTGGCAAGAAGAATCCTGGATTGTCAAGGATCTTCACAGTTCAGAACTTGTTCTACATAAAATTTGCATATTTTTGCTTTTTAGTGCAGAAAATAATATTTTAATAATAATAATAATAATAATAATAATAAAATTTATTTTTACTCTGCCCCTCTGTTGAGTAATCAGGGCAGCTTACAAGAATTAAAATCCATACAAATCTAAAAAATAAACATTCCCCACCCCTCCCCCCATTAAAACAGTATTAAACTACAGACCCAATAAAAACCTTAACATAACATATGAAAAATACAATAACACAACAATACAACAAAAATTAAAAAACAACAGAAATATTGTTTTCTGAGCAAAAAAAAAAAAATGAAAAAGAAAAAGATGTTTCCTGTGTAGAAAATGCTATTTTCTGTTCAAAACAACCATTTGCTAATTTTGTGCAGAATAAGCCCTGAATTGTGAATAGGCACTGAAAACAATGTGGGTTTCAAAGACTCTCACAGTGGAAAGAAAATAGCTAAAATCATTCATTATTTTCTTTGACGAGAAACTTTGTGAAGTATTACATCCCTATCTATGAGCAAAATACTCAAGTTATGGATAGATGAAACTTCCAGTTTCCCTCACCTTATTATTATTATTAACTGTCAAGTTATCTTCATTCTGAATATGAAGAAACTTGTGCATTTTGATAATCTCTTACTAAAAACAAACAAACAAACAAAATTCTCTTTCATCCCCAACTGCACTTGGAGGAGTGCTTGGTCTTCAAAGCAGGATAGGAAACTCTTTTGGTGAAGTTGCTATTTTTTCTCTCCTGTTACTATATATGTGCATCTGTCTATCTGTGTCTTGTTACTATAAGGAGATGTGTCAGAGGAGTTTAACACATGGGAGAGAAGTGCCCAAATGCCATGAATAAATCGGGATTAAACCTGGGAATATCCTACAAGAGCGGGATTGTTTTCAGATGATGTGTCCTGACTTCACCATTATTCCGGAATTAACCTAATAATTAAAGTACGTGATCTGGCCACTTTTGGCCACTTTTTATTTTCAAGAAAATCCTGAAGATAAAAAGCAACACCTTTGGGTCTCTTTATTCATGGGTTAATTCTGGGATAATGGCGAAGTCAAGGACGTCATCTGAAAACAACCCCACTCTTGTGGGATATTCCTGGATTTAATCCCTGTTTATCCATGGGATTTGGGCTCTTTGCTTCCTGTAAAATAAGCTCCATAGTCTTATTCCAATCCATTTGGAAAAACTAGGGGACAGGATTACATCACAAATCATTCATTAACATTCTTTTGCATTTCCTCTTGTCTATACCTAGTCTTTCCTAGAAATTTGCAACACAATCCACACAAAATAAAGGTCTTTCATTTCAATATGTGAATTTAACATAATGCTTAAGTCTCTGCCACTGTGATCAATGTTGTTAATTAAAGGAAGTCAACTACATTGTAACATGTATTCAAAATGTAAGTCCACTCATTGAAAACAATTGGATATTACTCCTCCTGGGTAAATGAACATAGGATAGCATAGGACTGAAGCCATAAAAATGCTTAATTTGCCCAGATCATAGCCATTGTAACCCGTGGCTTCTGGGTTTGGAAGAGGTTAAACATTTTCATTGCACTTTCTTCAACAATGTTTAATAATGGCAATACCAGTTCCTCAGCATTTAAATCTGAAAACAATCCAAAGACTACATTAAAGAGTACATAATGTACAAAAATGACAAGCTGTTCTATAATTTTTTTTTTAAATAATGGCACTAATAATAGGTTTCCTGATCTCTAGAATTTATTAAAGCCCAAATTAGGTTCCTTTGCAATTGCATGAAGTTGTACTGTCCGCTACTGAATCCAGTTGGACAGATGTGTTCCCTTTCTGCTGTGAACTGTTGATCTCTTCCAAAGGAACTCTCCCATTATTTTCCTTTTCTTATCACTTTAGATGAGACAGCATCAGTGACTTCTTTACTGCTGTCAAATTAATAAAGAGTTATGTATTGGGCTTTTAAATATGTATTTTCAGTTCTTACGTCTTGTCCCCAGAATTCAAGCATGCATCATTTCTTTTACAAAAATATTCCTTGCAATTGCTAGAGTTGGCAATCTTTGCATATTTACACTCACTATATGTTAGGAGTTTAGGGCATAATATGTAGCTATGGTGATTTGCTGTTTGTTCATTTCTTTGTCCACACCCACTGTCTTCTTGCACTACATGGTCATCCTTTGTTCTTCAGAGTCTCCTCTCTCCTCTCTCTTTTTTCTTGACTCTTTTTCTGTTCTCCATAACAGTATATGTTATGAGACAAACTTCTCTTCATGAGATATTCAAGCTTTTCTGGTTACTGTTCAGAGATATTCTATTTTCTGCCTCCCCCCATTTTGTTGTTATTGCATACCTTATTTGTGATAAAGCAATCATATTATGGTGTTTTCTTGGCAAGATTTGTTCAGAGGGGGCTTGTCTTTGCCTTCCTCTGAGATAGTGTGACTTGCCCAAGGTCACCCAGTGGGCTTCCATGGCTGAGCAGGGAACTGAACCCTGGTCTCTAGAGTCTTAGTTCAATGCTCAAACCACTATACCATACTGGCTCTCATTGAAATTGCTAGTCTGCACTTGAAAACTGAAATGAGTGTATATTTGATGCTGTTTTTCCTATTCACTACTGGGCTACCAAGTCCCCAAGGTAATGTGCAAGACACTAGGCCCAAAAGGTCACTACCATACAAGGAGGATGGAGGCAGGTAGAAGCTGGTATCTGGTTGGTGAATTATGATGGCATAAGTAGGGCGGCCATAGGTCATTGCAACTCACATTTTTGGTTCTTTCAGAGATCAGAGATTCTGTACTGATTGTGCAGCAACCAAAACTCCTTCCAACCCAACATTTCTCATTGCTGCCAACCCAAACCTGACCTTTTCCTAGTTGTTGGAGAGTGGAGTGGTGGATCAGTAATTAATCTTCCACTTATTTTCCTATAGCGGCATGCAGAGCACTGGCATCATCCCCAGCAGTAGCATCACTGGGTGTGTTTGAGCTGCATTGGGCATGGGGCAGGGAAGTGGAGGGGGGTGGTGACATCTGCCATGGCACACAGCAGGGAGGGAAAGGACCCAGTGTCCCCAGTCCCTGCTCTCCAAGGCTTGGTTTTCAAGCCTTGGAAGGCAGAGAGGGAAAGGACCTGGTGTAAAGCCACACGGAGCAGGGACACAAGTGCATGGGCAGGGGGATGGGCCTTTTTGGCTCCACCCCAACCCTGCCCTCTACCCTAGGTGACACCCCAGTTTGGAACACCACTGATCTCCAGGGAACTCTGGAGGACCCTGGAAGTCATTGCAGAGGCCTGTTGCTGTCTATTCAGCTATAGGAAGACAGCTGGATGCTTGTCTGATCCTCCTCACTCCTAAATGATCAGGAAATGGCCATGTTTAGGGGACTGCAAATGAGAAGAGGTAAATGTAAGAATGCTGGATGGGAGACTGTTATAGCTGCATCTCTCCCAATGCAGGATTGATGACAGAATATCTTTTGTTTCTCTGCTGGACTCTGTGTGGGTGTGTAGG